CGTGCTGCTGATGAAACTCTCCAATTGGCTCGGCAAAAGTTTGTTGTTGTTTGGTGTCAGTTTTACGTCGCCACTTCCATTCACATTTTTCATCATTGTTCCACAATGTTTATCATCATGAAATTAATATCTATATATGTTATACTATACTTGCACTGCTTACCGTTTTTATACTTTATATATCTTAGCATATTCATACACACTGTTCATATTGCTCACAGGCTGCTGTGTATAGCTAGTGTATTCATACCCCTCACTGTTTATTCATCATTCACTTCATTCTATCTTTTATTCTGTAGATTGTGTACATTACTTTTCACTTTACTGCTTGTTGCACTCCTGGTTAGAAGCTAAACTGCATTTCGTTGTCTCAGTACCTGTAATCTGTGCAATAACAATAGAGTTGAATCTAATCTTGAACAGGAACAAATGTATTTACTTAGTACATATCTGACATTAACAATTAAACACGTGTGCATTCTTTATAAATGCAAACCGAGTCAAGCCGACTCCGGAGGTGGCGGTATGCACCATGCTTATGCACCTTAAAGTTGTTTGCAATCCGCCAAAAAACCGAGAGAAGAAGAAGAAGAAGAAGAAGAAGAAGAAGCAACAGAAGAAGAAGAAGAAGAAGAAGAAGAAGCCGACTCGGAGCTGTCCGACTTCAGGCGAGCTTTTTGAGACCTCCCCCGGCTGCGATCGGCTATTCTCGTCTACTTTCGAGGCGAGCCACAACGCGTCAAAAACAAGCCTACTATCCAGGGGATGCATGCAGAGCCGTCATTGGCTGAGATAAGTCCGGTCGTGCGTCACGCCTCCACCGTTCCCGGAAATGGATCCGTGGAGGAGCCGTGGAGGATGCATCAGTGTCTCCTCGGTTAGAGCTCCTCCAGAGAGGCTCCTCGATGCTTGATGCTTTGTCCTCGAAGTGCATTTAGAGAAATTAGATGTCCTTCAAAATGGCGCGCTGAAATTCATTTCCGGCTCATTACCGGAGGAGTCGAGGAGTCGAGGAGGGGAAATTTGAGTATTGAGAAACCTCTAAGTTGTTTGTGGCCTGCCAGTAAACCCAAAGCAGAAGAAGACGAAGTGACGTCAGCGGCTCATATGCGTAATCTTCCCTCAGGGAATTTATTCAGGTGTGAATGCGATCTGTACTTACTTAGTGCCCTGGGGTACTAAGTGCCAGGGCGCTAAGTACCAGTACTAAGTACAGCAAAGTACTTGGTGTGAAAGCGGCTAATAGGCAATATTGCCTCTCCTTGAGCATCTACCCATTCTTTACCATCATCATGATATTCTACAGCAGGTATGTCCATGCTAACGTGAAATATATATATTGAAGCTAACTCCAATTCAGTAGCTAAGGTTCAAATGTTGTCACTGTAATGTCTGCATTTCCCCAAAGACATGGTTTGGAGTAACACATAACACATCATCCAGTTACACAATCATTGAAAACAAAGTAATTTATCAAGTTCTCTTAAATGACAAAATTACCCTTTGATAATAAAATATATTTGAACAAATGTTGATACATTTTTTTATTAGTGTAAAGCCTGTGGGTTATCATGAGACAAGCATAAATGGTACTAATATTGGTAAGGTGTTCATATTCTGCTAATTTCCAGGTTCATACTGTATTTGTATTTTGTTCCTTTACTGTGACTTATCTCCATGCTTTAATGTCCAAAACGCTCTTTATTTTTCTCATACTGCCTGTGCTGCAGCACCTCTTTTCACCCTCTGTCTGAAACCAGAGCCGGCCAGCTCTGGTGTGATTGGTCAATTGCTTAGCGATGTCCAGCCCCTTAGAAAGACACGTACAATATGTTGGAGCGCTAGCAAATAGAAGTTACATTGTGATGCCACTATATTATGGAAGTAAACAAAATAGTCCAAGTGAGGCGTTTCTGTCGGGGGGGCAGTGGGAATGTTATAAGACCTTTTACAAGCACACAAACCTATATAACACACTACAGGAAAGGGAAAACCCCCAAAAACATAATAGTGCCTCTTTAATATTCACAAACTAGGTGGAGCTTTTCGGGCATTCCTGTGGAGGTTGGGGACATTGAACCAGAGTGGTCGGTGTTCAAAGCCTCTATTGCCGAAGCCGCGACGGGGAGCTGTGGTCTCAAGGTCCTAGGTGCCTCAAGGGGCGGTAACCCTCGAACCTCCTGGTGGACACCGGTGGTCAGGGAAGCCGTCNGTGTGCCTTGGCAGTCTCAGTCCTTTCGAGTACCTTAGAGTAAACTTTCCCGGGGAGGCTGAGTAGTGTGATGCCTCTGTAATTGGCACACACCCTCTGATCCCCCTTTTTAAAAAGGGGAACCACCACCCCGGTCTGCCACTCCTTCGGTACTGTTTCCGACTTCCACGCAACGATGAAGAGACGTGTCAACCATAACAGTCCCTCAACACCCAGAGCTTTCAGCATTTCCGGGGCGGATCTCATCCACCCCCGGGGCTTTGCCACTGTGAAGTTGTTTGACGACCTCAGTGACCTCCCCCCGGGAGATTGGTGTCGATCCCCCGTCATACTCCAGCTCTGCCTCTAACATAGAGGGCGGAGTTGTCGGGTTCAGGAGTTCCTCAAAGTGCTCCTTCCAACGCCCTAACACTCCATCAGTTGAGGTCAACAACGTCCCATCCTTACTGTACACAGCTTGGATGGTTCCCTGCTTCCCCCTCCTGAGGTGTCGGACAGTTTTCCAGAACAACTTTGGTGCCGCCCGAAAGTCCTTTTCCATGTCTTCTCCGAACTTCTCCCACACCCGCTGCTTTGCCTCGGCCACGGCTGAGGCTGCTGCCCTTCAGGCCTGTCGGTATCTTGCAACTGCCTCGGGAGTCCCCCGGGATAACAAATCCCTGAAGGCCTCCTTCTTCAGTCGGACGGCTTCCCTGACCACCGGTGTCCACCAGGAGGTTCGAGGGTTACCGCCCCTTGAGGCACCTAGGACCTTGAGACCACAGCTCCCCGTCGCGGCTTCGGCAATAGAGGCTTTGAACACCGACCACTCTGGTTCTAAAGACTAGACTAGACTAAAGTGAATTATCTAAACACTCCTTTACCTCACAGAGCCTCTCAGTCTGACAGGAGAGCTCTCCTCCACCATTGTAGAAACATACTTCTTATATCCGTTACGCAGCTAGCACCAGATTCTAGTAACAACAGCGCCGGTACCGGTGCGCCCTCTCTCTCTCTCCCTCTCTCGCTCCCACGCTCGCACTTTGGCTGTGAGCTGCGAGCGCCTGATAAGCCAACATCCCCCACTTTCATCACTTGCAGCGCCCATCGTACAGGGCAAATGAAAAGTGTAACCGGGGTGAAAAGGGTGTTACATTTACTTAATTATGAATGTTGTTACATNAAATGAGACGGTCTTCTGGCTTCAGTAAAGTTGGAACGATATTGGGAGATTCTGATTTCACGGATCAATAACTCATTAACAAAACGTTATTCAGACACATTGTGTCTGAATAACGTTTTGTTAATGAGTTATTGATCCGTGAAATCAGAATCTCCCAATATCGTTCCAACTTTACTGAAGCCAGAAGACCGTCTCATTTCGTAGACCGCTCGGTTTGCTGTTCCTTCACTTTATTTTTATATTTATATACATTTATTTTGGACGAAAACTTAGCGTGAGAAAAGGCAAGTGTGGCGTGAGTGCGTGAGATATGGGTTAATTGCGTGACTCTCACGCTCAATGCGTGAGTGTTGGCAGCCCTGGTTTATTGTAATAAAATGTACATTTCGGGTTCATACCCCTGTATTACGATTGATTCAGCAGACTTGTTACTTGCCAGAGGCAGTGAATACACTTTTGTGGAATTCAATGAGTGTCTTTGGATGATGTTATGAACCCAGAAACAAAGCTTTTTGCTTTCCCGACATATCTGGGACTTTCACAACATGCACATAGCAGCAAGATAAGGATTTCAGCAATGGCTTTGTTGGTATCTACTGTAAGTATGTAAATAGAGATGAGCCCCGACTCCTCTCTGGTGCATCTAGTTTCAGCGACTCGAGTAAACGGATGAGGCCTTGGTCACACATTCAAGTAACATGAGGTGAAACGTAGCCCCAATTCCAGTGTGAATGCACCATAGTGAAGAAAAAAACATGGCAATGAGTGTGCAGAAGCTTCAGATTAAATAGCATGGACGAAAGGAAACTAGCCACCAATTTCTGGGTGGAAGCTAGTACGCATACAGCTGGCTGGCTAGCTTAATCTTTCCGAGTGGAATACAAACTCAACAGCATGCTGAATGTATAGACAACATATCACTAACATTTGTTAAACAATGTGGGCACTTTGAAAAAGGTTGCGTCATATTTTGGCTATGAAAGGATCTCAGTTAGTAGAACACTACAGAAGACAACGAGTATGTTTTCTCTCAGAAACATAAGAAAACATATTTCTACTCCTACTTCTAAAGAAATTAAGTTTTCGCTCTAACTTCACTAAAAACACCCAAAAAGTGAAGAGATTCTCTTTTGTATGTTAACTTCAACCATCTACTGTATATTCAACATTTAGATTTGAATCCTATAACTGTGCTTCATTTTATTGCAAATATGACAAATATAATGAAGCTACTCACCTGAGAGCACAGTGAATATGGCAGCGAAGGCGTTGAGCTTGAGGCCTTCGATGACATTGCCCAAGTGACACACCTCTATGGACATGAGGAGGCCTCCGGTGGCCAACAGGAGGATGTATAGGCACTCAGCAACAATGCACAGCCACAGCACTCCTATGGATACAATTTATATTGGAAAAGGAATAGCAAAGAGGAGAAACCTATTCAAATTGTGGGTGCAGGGGTGAACACGGTTGAGGGAATGACGGAGGGGGTGTAGACACAGGAATGGAGAAAGGAGGGATGGGGTATGGGGACTTGGAAAAGAATATGGGTAAGTAGGGGCGAAGAGAGGAGAGGAAAGAGACTGGAGGAGAAGGAGGATGGGGACGAGAAGGAGACGAGGGAGGTGGACAAGTGACCCCTACCCATATCATTAACCTTCACAGTCACGGAGAGGATATATCATCCACCAAGGGAGGAACAGTATCCTGAGCTCAGGTCTGTGAGCGAGGAGACTAAATATCAGCGGATTTAGAAACCGATAAATGTACACAGCGGTGTAATTGCATGAATCACCCAAGGGCAGGTACTGATGTGTCTCAATTAATCACAATGTGGACTACCGTACTGTGCCTGTTACTCAGAATAATTTAGAGTGAATTTTAAATGTACATCCCTGAGCTAAAGATTTATTTTTAACTGCTCAATTGAATTCCACACACATATGTCTTTATTAAATGCATATAATTAGGGCAGAGGGGATTAAGGAACATTTGATTAGACTAAAGTCTTGAAAGCATTTGGTTAAAGTATATCTTTTCACTTTGCTTTGATACAAGTAAAACTTTAATCATACCAGCAAAAAAGACAAATGCTCTCAAGTGAATGTGAAGCATAAGGGGACCAGTGATAACAGAACGTAATAACCTCTGAATGCACTGGCATCTAAGCTGTCTGAAGATCTCTTTATTGTCAGGGTCAGTGTCTGGTTTTCTTGAGGAGAGGCAATCACTTACGTAGTTGCCCTCTTCCAGACCTTTATATTGCTGCCCACATGTAGGTTTTTTCAGCTATTGTACTATTGTATACAGTATATTGGGCTATAACTTAATAAGTTCAATTAATTTCTATTGTCAGTACTCGAAATATATAAGTAATATGGATAAGTGTACAAATTTAATTTGATGAAGACAAAAAAGGTTTGTGTTGCAGGGATGACGTGTTTTGGTCGGCGAACAAGGAAGTTAGCATCGCAAGGGCTCCTTTCAACGGCAATGGGACTTACCATTGAATTTTGAAAGCTAACTCGATGGCAAACAAATGTGTATGATACTAGAAGAATCTCAACATTTGAACACCACTATGATTTTTCAAACATAAAAGCAATCGGCAGTAAAAAGCGGACGTTATGCTGTAAACAAACTGATAGTTGTATGGCTGCGCATCACCACCGCTAAGCTAAAGGTGGCTAATGTTCGACTTGATGAAGTTTAGTCTCATTTGGTCGCTTGTTAGTAACCGCCGTTTTCAAGACACCTAAAAGCTAAGACGTATTTTAAATCATAGAACAAAATGTAAATATCTTTTAAGATTTTGTTAACAGGAGGAGTTGAATGACAACAATGCTAACTAATTTAAATGTTTAGCCCCTCATCACGCACTTCTTAATGGAGATCAACAAAACAACAACACTAGAGTAGAGACACTGTTTTAGCCTTGGTATTACGTTTGAACATCGATGTAGATAAAAAGGAAGATGTATTTGTTTGAGACAGGGTTAATTACTACAGAGCTAACTCTGTGCTATGGCCTAATAGTCATTCATTCTATTAATAATCAACAGTTAGCCTACTTATAAAGCTTCAGATTTAATGTAGGCTCACAGATGAAAGAAGTATGGCAGCCAACAGATGTTCGAACAACTGTCTCAGTGGTGCAAGCATTGCCAGTATTTCATCACAGTGACAAAAGATGTTAAATGCCATATAAATGTCAGTATTCTGACACAGAACGATTTTAAAAGCAATTTATTTATATTGGTATGTTTCGTGCCTGCACCAAATAATAACAAATTAGAAGGAAAAAAAGAATAAAAAAATACAGATTTCAGTATTCTGACAATAATAAATAAAATCGTCTTGGTGAACACGAATCAATAGATTAAATGTATTTCGTGACTATAACACAACATGCCGTGAGACTGGGTTGTTTAACCAGTGGACCAACCGGCACCTCTCAAGGTAGCCTACCGGTCCACACTGCGTATGGTACATTTAGGGACTTGAATCGGGGACCTAAGGATGTATGAATTATGTGCGTGTGAGTGATAACATTTTATGAATATGCTTACCTCTTTCATTTGAAGGTGCGACATTAAGGAAACTTCTGCAGTTTTCACCTATAAAACAATAATTAGACATTTAATTGACTGTTGGTGTATAAGCATTATGGAACATGCTGATAAGTGAGACAGGAAATCCATCGTGTATTACTTTATTATCAGATTGAGAAAGAAAGTCACTATTATTCCACAGATAGAGCTGAGATGTAAAAAACAAAATCAATATTTAATCCAATCTGTGAACGGATTTCCTTTGTGTTGTGCGAAAACAAGCTCAACAATTTCCCCTAGCAGATCCACATGTCCAGCCTTAAATCCAGCATGTAGTGTGGTAGGGCCATGGGACCGGCAGCTTTCACACAAAACACTACAAGATGTAGCTAAGAGAATAAAACATCAACCTTGAAATGAGACGGTATTCCATATTTTCCCGATACATTGAAAAAGATCTGACAGAAAGTGAAATCAGCAATGCATTTGAGAGGTTTCGTTAAATCAAAATCGCTAAACAATGTGTAGGCTACGCTTCTTAAATGTGAAAAGTAACAGTTTTTCCTCTTCCTGAATTTTAATATTACACTAAAAACCTTTTAGTTTTTGGATTATTATTAAATTATTAAGCAACTCCAATATGTTAACTTGAATATTGTACATTTTTATTTGTACCTTTCTGACACATTTATAGACCTACAATCCTTATTCTCAGTTCAGCAAAAACTTGGTTTGAAATTCCGATATATATTGTTTGGACAAACACCTGCTTCTTATATTCAACACTGATGACCAGGTGTTGCATTTTCTTATTTCTCATCAATATTTTTTATTTTTTAAAGTTATAATATGACACAATACAATAACCTACACTTTAGACAAGAGGTTTCAAAAACTCAGAGCAAAAACAGACACAAAAAGGAGCAGCAGTAGTCAAAACATGTGTACAGGTACTTGATGTGCGTATACTTGTTCTGTTATATTTGGCACAACATGGTTGTAACCATTTCATGGACAGCGCTGTGCGTTTCTGATGGTATTATACATTTAACTTTTAAATACATTTTTGGGATCGATGACTAAATCTAGTCTGTGTTAAACCAGATTTCTTTATGGAAGATTTTACTCAAAGCATGACTTTGGTTACGATGCGCCTCCGTGACGCACAGCCTGCGCGCCCCTCATCCTCGCTGCTCGTTTCTTTTCAAAAACTCACCGGTCATGTTAATGTTCTGCTCGCAGGAGAACCAGATCCCGGTGTGAAATTTCCTCATCACGTACTTATCCTCCCCGGTCTCCCAGATGTACTGCACCAGCCTTGTGTCGTTGAGGTTGGAGCTGTTGAACCTGATGCAGAACGACTGCCTGGTGGCGGTGAACGGGCCAGTGCAGAACGGCTTCACCACTTTGCGCGTCCCTTCGCACCAGTAGCTGGTGGTGAGAGCCGATACCGCCAGGAACAAAGCCAGGAAGTTCAAGGTGAGAGCCATAGATGCTCTCCGGCGTCGGTCTATCCCCATAACGGCGAACGGAGTAGTGAAAAACGCGTAACTTAATCCCTTAGCCTTGTGTGACACCGAATTCTCTCGATCCCTCCTCAAATTTGAACAATCCGGTTATTCCCGGCAGTATATCCGCGGCTAATTATGATCTGGCCCCTGCGCTGTGTGTCTCACATCTGCTCCTCCACCGCTGCTGATTCCCCTTTTGTAGGCTGCCACCCCCCATACTCACCTCATACACCCCCTCACACACGCCTCTTCTCTGAGGAGAAAAACAGCTCACTGAAAACAGGTGTCATCCCGCCAGCAGAGTTTTCAATAAAAATGATTTGTTCGAGTGGATATGTTATATTAGTAGCCTACTGTATATATAAAGGTTTAATTTCTTACCAAATAAAAAGAAGGACTTCGGATTTTTTAAAGCCCCACACATTATTTAGTATCGCCTTTCTATAAAGCTGGGGGACTTTAAAGAGATAGATCAAATAGAATGGTCCAAATTTGAATCTGTTTAAATCATTACTTTTAATCTAGAGAATTACAATGGAAAGTAATAGTAAGAAAGAGGGGCTTATTTATTACCATTGCCCCAATAATACAGAACCGAGTAGGAATAAATAAAACTATAAACCTTACGCAGTGTTTTCCTAACATGCTCTATTAACAAATACGAAAGAAATAGAACATTCCAGTCTTTGAGCTTTTGGCAAGTGCAGAATGAATATTTGACAACAAGGCAAATACTTTCATGTATTACCTCATTATGCTGACGAATACTTCACATCTGAGAGCATTATGTTCTCTTGTGTTAAGGGAGGCACCTTTTCAGGGACTGGAGGCAGACATTTCCCTGAGCTGTTGTTCTCGGGGGTAAATTGACCCACTCGACCTCTCTCTGACCATTTGAATTTATTAGTTAGAAGTTTATATTCCTTCTAGGATAATAAAGATATGATGATGATCCCCATGGTGTGCCTATAGTTAAGTTTTAAAATGTGGGACCTCACTTAGAGAAGATTAAAAAACGTAGGGGGTTATAGCACAATAAAAAATACCTTAAATAAAACAAATGTCTTGCATAGAGTCAAGAAACATATTTAATCGTTTATTCGAACCGGGACAATGCACATTAATGAACATTTTAAACAAAATAATGCTTTGAAATGTAAATGAGCCGGATTTGAGTTTTGAGCTAATTTCCATCCGTAATCCCGTCACATATAACATTTATGAACATAACATTTATATACATGGCAAACAGAAATACATGATATGCAGAGAGAGCATGAGCAGCATACAAGCATTTACCACAAGGTAGTACAATGTAGCAGCTACGACATATAAAGTGCAGGAGGAGATAAAAGTGCTACATAAAGTGCAAAAAAAGAGCTACATAAGGTGCAAGAGGAGATACCCCTGTGTTAAAGTGCATTTAGCTGTGATTGCACGTCTGTTTGTTTCTCATCCATTCTTTAAGTTGTCCTTTAAAGCTATTGAGAGTGGGACAATCCCGTATCTCAGTTGGGAGGCTATTCCACAATGAGCTGCCTTTAATGGAGAGGACATTTTGTCCAAAAGTGGTCCGTTTGCGTTGGACTTCACAGTCTCCTCTGGTTTCTGACCTAGTGCAGCGTCCAGTGTGTTTTATGAATTCCCCTAAGGTTGGGGGCGCCAGTCCATGTAAACATTTATTAAAAAAACACATACTTTTAAAAGACTTAAAATTGTAAAAACTCAAGAAATTGTGCTTCTCAAGGATGGTACAGTGGTGGTATGCATATGGCTTTCTGTCAAATACCTTGATAGCTCTCTTGTACAGCTGTTCTATCGGTTTAAGGTTTGTGGCACACACCACATTCTTTAACTAACAATTCTGTCAATAGCACAAAGGGATATTTGTGTGTTTTTAAAATCAAAATGAGATTAAGTTTGATGAAGGAAAAGCTGTTAGAATCAGAAAGACACCACAGTAACTGCTTAACCTAAAACATGCACGGCAAATACACTACTCCTAAGCAACATAACGGGAAGTAGATCGATAGCAAATTATAGAGATTTCCTGACTTAATTATTCTCTCTGTTGTTTTCCCATAATATTAGAGTCCCTATTGCATATCCCTCCAATGAAAGAGGAGACAACAACTGCTGACTGCTAAGGTTTATCAATCCAAAAACAGACAGTTACCACCTCTGTGCAATTGCTACCAGGGGACTATCTGCTGGTGTCGGTTCAGGATGGGCCGGACAACTTTCAATCAGGCACAGAGAGACAGAGAAATCTATGAGGGTGGTGACAGTGTGAGGTTTGTTAACACCCACACTGTCCTGAGAGTGATGGCTGTTATCTCCAGTTTGTATTTGCCTGTCTGAGGATGTTCGGCACATTGTGATGTCCATCAGTAATTTCCTCTGCTACATGCTGTAGTATAGAGTGTGTGTGTGTGTGTGTGTGTGTGTGTGTGTGTGTGTGTGTGTGTGTGTGTGTGTGTGTGTGTGTGTGTGTGTGTGTGTGTGTGTGTGT